TATGGCAGCCGCAGCCCCGGTCATTCCACTCGGGCTCCTGCATATGCGACCGCTCCAGCACTGGCTTCGTTCATGGGTTCCGAGTTGGGCATGGCGCAGAGGATGGTTTCGGTTGTCAGTGACACCGTGCTGTCTCTCGTCCCTCAAGGCCTGGAGGCGTGTGACATTCCGCATGGGCGGGATTCCTCACCGCGTGGTAGTCACCACAGACGGCTCCCTGACAGGCTGGGGCGCCGTGTGCGGTTCCCATCGAGAGTCCGGTTCCTGGACCCGACACCAATCTCGTTGGCACATCAACCGTCTCGAGCTAGCTGCAGTGATCCTGGCGTTGCGGTGCTTTCGCCCGCTTCTGAAGACGGCTCTTCTGTTGGCCTTAGCGTCCATCAAGAGGGTTGGAGATCTCCAGGCTCTGTCCGCCGACGAATCCTGCCTGGAATTCGGCCCTGAGGACTCTCTGGTGTTAATCAGGCTCAGGCCCGGATTCATCCCCAAGGTCCCATCTGTCCCCTTTCGCAACCAGACGGGAGGAGGCAGACCCAGCCCAGGGTACTCTCTGTCCAGTCTGCGCCCTTTTGCTCTATCTGGACAGAACCCGGGAGTTTTGTATCTCCCAGCAGCTCTTAATTTGTTTTGCGGGCCAGCGTAAGGGGTACGCTGTGTCCAAGCAGCTGTTAGTGTGTTGGATTGTGGAGGCTATCCAGCTTGCTTACCAGGCAAGTGATGTACCCTGCCCTTTAAAGAAGCTGAGGGCGCACTCCACCCGTGGCGTTGCCGCCTCGTGGGCTTTAGCCTAGGGGGTCTCACTCGCCAACATTTGTAGAGCTGCGGGCTGGTCGACACCCCAAACCTTTATCAGGCACTACTGCCTTGATGTAGGCGCTGTGCCTTCTGCGGTGCTGAGTGGTGCCAGTTAACCTGCTGGCACAGTGGGGGATGACCCATGGACGCACATTCCCATGGGTCTGTCGAACATCCTTTCCCTCATTCCCGACTCCAACATCTGATGAGGGCGCTGATGTGGTTTCTGGCCTGCCAGAAACCGGGTTATGGATGTGCTGTGCCTGCAGACTATTTTTCTTCACGGCTCCCTCTTGGTGGCTCGGTGAATCCTTCTTTCACGGCTCCCTTACGGTGGCTCGGTGAACTCTATCCTCCCCCCACGCGGCATCTGACTGAGTGGAGCAGTCAGCTCTGCTAGGTTCTGGTAGTAAGGTTCTGTCGTTGGCCTGATTCCTACAGAACTCGGGTCCGGACTTCGGGACCCCCCCCCCCCTCTGGGTGGCCCATTCTGTGTATTTTATACAAACCCCTTTTCAGGTTGTTTTGTATTACCCCGTTTCCGTTCTTCCCTCCCCCTTGTTATGCAGAATGATGACCTTCGTCTTTCCCCCTCCAATTGGCCGGGGGAGACATGTACTCGCGGGAAGCCCTATTTAGGTCTCGATGCGGTCTCCGTGCACCTTGTTCCACATCAAGGTGCACTCCTTCTGGTCGCCCTGCTGTGACAGCACCTGCAACTTCCCTGCAATAGATTTATTCCGGGCTAAGGGGCAGAAGGAGATACACCCAGTCGGGGTCTGGCTAGATCTAACCTTCACAGCTTAGTGTCAGCCTGACTGGATGGACTTGAGGCATGGCCCTTTATAGAGGTCCCCTAGTTGAAGAACTCGACATTCATCTGCGTTCTCGACTGTAAGGGAACGTCTAGGTTACCTTACGTAACCCCCGTTCCCTCAAGGAGTAGAGCAGAGTGCCCCACTTATAGAGCGGCTGATTGCTAATCATCTACACTCGCAAATCAATCAATTTGCCCGTTATATATTCGGTACCACCTCCCAGGTTTGGTAAGTCCCCTAGTCGAAGAACTCGACATTCGTCTGCGTTCCCTCCTTGAGGGAATGGGGGTTACGTAAGGTAACCTAAACGTTCTTTTGCAATGACCTTATTTGCCTTGCCTTCCTTGTGTAAGGTGTCAATGCTCAGCAATATTCAAATTTGGGGTTTTCATTAGTATAAACCTTTGAATTATTTCAGACTTTGTGAAATGAAGGAATGCCTTATTAAAGTTTAATAATCTTTTTCATGAAATTCTAATATGCTCCTGTATTTTAAATTAAACTGCTAGAAGAAGAGATAAGAGAAGATGACAAACAGGTCTAATTCAAAATAATGAAAGAAGCCACTCAAGTAAAATATGATTCACTTGAAGAATTGCTTAACAGTTTCACTCTGATGTAATAATCTCATTTTGGAACGCAAGAGAAGACAGAAAACAAAAAAAGAACTGCAACAATGTGAAATTTCTTAGATGGTCAAAGGAATGTCAGGTTTCCACCTGAAAGTAGATTATGTAAAACTAAATCATAGCATTATAAGAAATCACAAACTCCAGTTTAAGACATGGAGAAATAGAACTTTCATTCATTCTCAGCATGAAGTCATGTTAAACAGGTTGTTGGTTCGTGGCTCGCCGGTGACCTTCCTGGAAGGAGTTTGCATGTTCTCCCTGTCCTTGCAAATGCTTCCTCCAGGTTTCCTGCACAATGCCAAAAACATACGGTTAGGTTAACTGAATAAAACACAACTATCAGCTGACACCAAAATAAACACACCTGAAAGTTTCAGAATGAGAATAAAAAGGGATATTTTTGTAGTCCTGTGAGCCCATCAGCATTATGAAACGGTCGAAGGGGCCAATCTCAACTAACACAAAGATGCTCCTCCTCAGTGAAAATAATAAAAGGAAACTTAAATCAGTTACCAGGGGCATCGGGGCCTGAACCCTTCTCTGCTGGCCTTAACATTTCCAGTTTTTCACATTTTTACTACCAAACTGCATCACTTTTCCCTACAGCTTTCAGCATATGTCTGAATATTTTTTATATCATTCCCATGATATTTGTTTCTTTAAGTCCATCACAGTGAGTGTGTGTATGTTTAGAACTCCAACAACCCAGTTTCAGGAGCTGGGGTCAGGTGATCACTGATGTGTATTTTCATCTCTACACAAGGGAAATGTGTGTGAACGTGAAGTGTTGGTCTGCAGCTCTGATCAGCCTTCACTCCATTAGCAGAGAGTGTATAAGGTCAGGGCGGGTCAGGACGGGACGGGGCGGGATGCAGCTAAACTCAGCCCGATCTCCAGCTTGCCATCTATAACACCACACACACTCCTCATCGGTCTACTTGCTCTGTTCATCACTAAGCTGTCTTTCACTCCAATCTGATTTCTGCTGAGAATAATGAAACATGTGGATGTTTTTTTTTTGTAGGCTGATGCTTGTCTTAATTTAGCTCCGATTACCAGATGCACAGCTTTCACATTCACAGTTTTTCACATTCTCGACACATAAACACGTTGTGGGTTTAAATTAGAAAAAGCGTTTCATGTTTCTCACATGCAGGACGCTATGTTTCTGGTCGAACACTGGCACAAATTAATCAGTGTTCTCTTTAAAGCTCTTTAAATCTAAGTTTAACTGATAGATTTTCTGCTATCTATAATTGATCTAGGTGGTGTGGGTTCTAATACTACGATGAAAAGGTTTTAATAAACCTGACATTTGGTGGTTTTACTGAATCAAATCAAACATTTCTTGGAAATAATTTTTAAAAGTCTGTCTATACAATCACATAATATATAGAGCTCCTAATGTCTACATTCAAATCCCAGTAAACACTGAAGAAATTGACACAACACTACAGAGCCTACTCAGGATTTTAATTCATGTTAATTTTGAGTTATTTTAGCAAGGAGATTGATGTGACTGTTCTATAGAACTCTAACCTTCAGCTCCCTCCACAGATTTTCTATGGGTCTAAGGTTTAGAGTCTAGCAAGGCCAAGGACGGGGGAAATCGTTCCTGGAGAGCCATAGTCCTGGCGGGTTTCAGCGCCAACCCTGCTTCAGTACATACATGGGCAGCTTCCAATGTCAATCATGTAACAAGTTTCAGGAGGATCACTGCGACTCATTAGCGCACCCGTATAAAAGACCAGAGCTAAACTAGCACTTTATTTGCATTTGTTCCCAGCAAACCCCACCGTCCACTCCTCTGCCTCAACACAATGTTTCAATCACCTTGTTTGATAGATGGCTGTTTTTGTGTTCATACCAGATACCAAAACAGATTTTGGACACTTATAACCACAACACTTTTACTCAGTCCTTCTCTAAACCATTCAGATGTTCTTTGGCAAACTTAAGATGTGGCTGTCCTTTAGCAGTTTCTGGCATTCCTGTATTTCAGTCAGTAGAACATGGCACTAGCAATGCCAAGCTCATGGGTTTGAATCCCACATAAATGTAGTTGGCAAATATGGTGTCAGCTTCGTTGACAAGGTTCCCAATCGTTCTCATTGATTTGGTAAGGACCCTCAGGCTAGGGGCGATGGACAGTTATTTTCTGTTAATCTATAAAGTTTCCTCGTCATTCTTTACCAACTCTGCTCTTGGCATTGGTGGAGATTTAGAATCGATTGATTCAGTGCACAAGTGTTTTTCAGAAGAAGCCTGTCAGTACACGATCCTTGAATTACGTCACGGTTTCCAGACATGGTAGGGTCACGATGAAAAAGCTTTACAGCAGGACATCATATCATAGTTAAAAACGGAGAACACGAAAGAAAGTTCTGTTTTTTAGCAGCCCTCTGGCAGTATGTCTCTATTGGGTTGGTGAATGCGGCATTTAAGCACATTTTTGTTATAAGAGGTTCGCTAAGTGATCATGGCTTTGACATTCGTATCATCAGCCATTTGCTAAAAACGAATCTCTAACGTTTATCAAACACAGAATTCCATATAATAGTTTAATAGGATAGCTTAGACTCCTCTTCGTGACCTCCAAGGCCAGAGGAGGTAAGGGAGGCCAGATGGCAGAGAAGTTGGTCGTATGGTGGCGCGTGCACACACTGCGGCTTCTCTCTCTCCCATAATGGTGCTTTCGTGTGTTTTACCATGTGAGTCTTCACGATTTTGTACTTACAGCCGTGAGTATTTGCTTGGCATCTTTAAAACAACACTTTTAGAGCTAAACTCTACACTCGCTGAGGATCTGTGGGACCTGGGTCTGCTCCGGAGGCCTACACCATCACCGATCCCTATTGCTTCATCTCACCCGCAATGGTAGCGCCACAAGCGGTGTAAGTGGAAATAAAGGAGGGGGAAGCGCGGAGGTATCCGGGCTAGGCTAGCGGCTAACCCGCACAAACCAGCGATCCCTACCATCATACTGGCCAACGTACGCTCCCTAGAAAACAAACTGGACTATGTTAAATTACTATGTTCGACACTGAAGACCGTGAGAGACTGCTGTGTTTTTGTGTTTTCAGAGACATGGCTCAACGACAGCATTCCGGACCACGCTATTCAGCTCGACAAGCTAACAAGCTATCGCGCAGAGTTCTCGTCATGTAATAATCTCATTTTGGAACGCAAGAGAAGACAGAAAACAAAAAAAGAACTGCAACAATGTGAAAATTCTTAGATGGTCAAAGGAATGTCAGGTTTCCACCTGAAAGTAGATTATGTAAAACTAAATCATAGCATTATAAGAAATCACAAACTCCAGTTTAAGACATGGAGAAATAGAACTTTTAGTGTATACCAACACGTACAATAACACCACAGACCTTCAGGAGTACTCCGAGACTGTTACTGCTTGTATCAGCAAGTGCATCGATGATGTAACTGTAACAAAAACCATCACCGTCCCGGCCAATCAAAAGCCGTGGCTAACAGGGGAAGTTCACAGACTTCTGAAAGCTCGGAATGCTGCCTTTAAGGCCGGAGATGAGGAGGGCCTAAAAACATCTAGAGCCAACTTGTCCTGTGGAATCAGAGAAGCCAAGAGGAAGTACTCCAGGAGACTAGACCTTAGCTTTAGTGACAGCAGGGATACTCGAAGCCTGTGGCGGGGGATCCAAACCATCACGGACTACAAGCCCCAGCCACAGACCCTCGATAGCACCATCTCCATGCTGAAAGAGCTAAACGCCTTCTATGCTCGCTTTGAAGAACAAAACACCACAACAGCACAGGACACTCCACCTCCTCCTGGCGACCAGGTGTTAGTGCTGTCTCTGGAGAGAGTGAGGAGATCCCTTAGCAGGATCAACGCACGCAAAGCTCCGGGGCCTGACAACTGCCCTGAGCGTGTTTTGAGAGAATGTGCAGGGGAACTCGCAGGTGTCCTCACAGACATCTTCAACAGCTCGCTAAGCCAGGCAGTTGTTCCCACATGCTTCAAAGCAACCACCATCATCCCTATTCCGAAGAAAACATCTCCATCCTGCACTCACACCCATCATTATGAAGTGCTTTAAACGAGTAGTCATGCAACACATTAAATCTGCACTTCTCCACTCCCTGGACCCCTTTCAGTTTGCATATCGGCCCATTCGCTCGACCGATGATGCCATCAACACTGCTCTCCACTCCACCCTCACTCATCTGGAAAAAAGGACTCTTATGTTAGGATGCTGTTCATAGACTTCAGCTCAGCATTTAATACACTCATTCCCCAACAGCTCACTTTAAAACTGGCTAAGTTAGGGCTCAATCGTGGGCTGCAACTGGTTGCTGGACTTTCTGACCGGATGACCTCAAGCAGTGCGGGTAGGCAGCAACACATCCAGCACCATCACACTAAACACCGGGGGCCCCGCATGGATGTGTGCTGAGCCCCCTCCTCTTCACGCTACTGACCCACGATTGCACACTATCACACAAATCTAATCTCTTCATCAAGTTCGCAGATGACACAACTGTTGTCTGTCTCAACAACAGAGATGAGTCAAACTATAGGAGTGAAGTGAGCCGCCTGGCCAGGTGGTGTGGTGACAACAATCTCTCACTGAACGTGGAGAAGACGGAGATTGTTGTGGATTTTAGGAGAGCACACACTCAGCACGCCCCTCTAACCATCGACTGGGCAGTTGTGAAAAGCACCAAGTTTCTGGGCGTGCACATCACTGAAAACCTCTCCTGGGCACATCAGCGCCTCTACTTTCTGCAGAAACTGAGAAGTGCTAGATCCCCGGCCCCCATTATGTGCACCTTCTACAAGGGCACCATCGAGAGCATCCTCACCAGCTGCATCACTGTGTGGTATGTAAACTGCAATGCATCCTGCCGCAAGTCCCTACAACGCATAGTGAGATCAGCTGAGAAGATCGTTGGTGTTGCCCTCCCCTCCCTCCAGGATATCTACAGCACTCAGCACTCAGCCCTCAGAATTACAAGTGATCCCACCCACCCAACACAAAGCCTCTTCAGCCTACTGCCATCAGGGAGAAGACTGTGCAGCCTTCAAGCCAGGACCAGCAGACTGAAGAACAGCTTCTGCCACCAGGCAATCCGGAAGCTAAACTCATTTGTGTCTCTGCCCCCCTCTGTCCTTCTAGCTTCACATCCCTCTGGAACCTGACCTCAACATAGAGCATCTTCTGACCCCTCCTACCCCACCATACCGGACACTGCACCGGTCACTTTACTTTAATCATCCAGCATTAGAGAGTACTGGACTTATCATCTCAATCCAGGAACACTATAGCCACTTTATATGACTAATTTTCTTGCACTATTGCACTACTCATTGTTGTGTCTGTAGTTCTTATTATTTGTTCTTTTACTTTTACTAGGCCCTGAGGGACGCAATTTCATTTCTCTATATGTATGCACTGTACATGTGGCAGATTTGACAATATACTCTTGAACTTGAACTTAATTTGGGTAAAAAACTGTAAATTTCTACAGATTTTTATGTCCATCCCCGGTCTCCAGATTATCCAGCTTCTGTCGTATTGCTGCCAGCCTTTCCACAATGAAATCCAGTTTGCGGTCACAGACCATTACATGAGTCCCGACAGTTTTAAGTCCAGTCAACATTCCATTACAGTTGGTAAGCTTAGTGGGGCTTTGAGCAGTTACCGCTTTTGATAATCGCCGATAGCCGAGATTTCCACATATTCCAATCAGCAGAATCCTAGTTATCACAGCTCCAATTATGTAAATGTCTTCAACATCCTCCAGGGACAGGGCGGCCAGGCACACGATCCTCCACTTCGCCCAGGAGTCCATCGTGTAGCCAGCAGTCTAAGTTCCAGCAGGACAAGTGGGTTCCCCCGAACCCACGCTCCTCGTCAAGAAAATGGTGTCAATTGCATTCAGAGACCAGTTGATCAGATCCATAGTTCCCTTTCAGTCGAGACGCAGACAATGTCGAGGTCTCGACTATGGGTGGAGCCATCCTGAAAGTGGGTGGAGCCGAACGTTTCGGCAAATTGATTTGCGAGTGAAGTTGATTAGCAATCACATTGATTAGCAATCAACTGCTCTTTAAGAGCAGAGCGCAGCTCTACACTCAATCTGCCTTCTTCCTCGGAGCGAATGGTGGTTGCTTTGCATTTCGACGCTCTTTACAAGCTGAAATATCAAAAGTTGCTTACCGCTGCGCTTGTTGTGCTGCTGCTAGCCCAGATAGCTACGCCATCTTATCACGGCACCTCTGATTCACAGCTAGAGCCTGTCAGTATCTGCAGTTTTGTCCTATACATGTCCATTTTTCATGGCGATGAGCAAAACTCCTGGCTGCGGCGGATTTATCTCGTCGAAGGACAGTCACAAGCGATGTGTGGAGTGTTTGGGCTTCAAACACGCCTGCATTGCCCTCGTGAGGCGTGAGTGCTTGCACTGCAACGCTCTGCCGAGCCGCACACTGAGGTACAGGAGATCCTTCTTCCCTCGAAGGACACAGAGGCTTCGGTTTCTGGCGCTCCGCTGACTCAATGAGGCCATTTATAATACAGATGATAGATCATGGATGGGGAGCATGGATGGGGAGTGGACAGAGTGTCATCTCTAGTCTTCTGTGACCAGGCCCCACAAATAGCCAAGAGCTACACGATGGGGCAGTCCGCCCGGCATGGAATGGCACAACCAGGGGCCCGGACCCCAGAGCCGGCCCAATTCCGGCAGGCCCATCCCATGAGCACCGCCACCTGCACAGGCAGGGGACCAGGACAGGAGGACAAGGAGGGATCTCCACACCAGGTGCAGCGGAGCCACCCCCCAGCCATACCCCGGCCCTGCGTATATCCTGACCAGCAGCCCGAAACCCACACCCCTCCCCCTATCCGACTCCGAATTCTAATATTTATTGCCAAGTATATTTTATGACAATATTTCAGATGGTATTCTAGCGCAGTAGTGTGCTGTTTCCTGAAAGTTTAGGAAATTTTGCCTTATCTCACAGATAGGGAGGATGAGCGAATAATTCTTCGATTACTGCCATTTTCCACACAATCT